AGACCAGATTACTCACAGCTTTATCCAGTCTGGTCCTGAAAACCTCAAAGAATGGATACTGAACAATCTCTCTGGGAAACCCGTTACAGTGCTTGACACTTCTCACAGTCAATAGGTTTTCCCTGACCCTCAGCGTGAGCAACTCTAGTTTCTCTTCTCCCAAGCTCCACAAGTACTATTAGTTTGTAATGTCTTTGAATATTTTCCCACCATTTTACATCACATTCACAAAACAGGTTTGCTGCAGGCTTCTGTGCAAAGATGTGAGAGAAATCAGAGAAATCACTGGGAAAAAAAAGAGACAGCAATCTTGAGCTTAACGTGCTTGAGCTTTTGACTAATTTAAATCCATTCAAGGAACTAAGAGAAACCCTGCCATGCTAATCAGAACAGCCAGTGTTAGGAGATGTCTAAGCTGTATCAAAGGTACACTTGAAATGCATTCAGACACCCATGCAGACCTGAAACCCTAAACTTGGCTCAGTTACTGACAACAACCAAGATAATCTTTGGCATTTAGCTGGTTGGCACTCAAATATCCACAAGTTCCTAGGTGGATTTTACAGTCTTAACTGTCGAGCAACCTCAGTGAAAATTCTCCTCTACATTCCAGAAACTGAGACCCAGCTATGATGAGAGTTGCTAGGCAGCTCCCTAGGAACTATGATGGGGTATCCCCAATACACAGACACAACCTGCAGCCATTCCCAGAGGAAGAAGCCACCTCCACTTCTCATTGAGTAATTGCTATATGCTATGTTACACAAAGCACATGTATGACATTGAGATGTGACTGTGGAGAAGGTGACTGGATATCAGGTTAGCCTTTTAAGATCACTTTTCAGCTTTTTCCATACCTTAGGAAATCATAATGTGATCACTGCCATTCTGGTGTCCTCTGTAAAATTTAAATATACTCTATGACTCCATTTCAAATTATCACATATGGAGCTGCTCTGTTATGACCCACTCAATTACTTTTCCCCAGGGAGAAATAACCAGAAAACTCATATTTAGGAAAGAAAATGTAAAGTTGCACATCACTAAACATGTGCAAACTATGACATCTAACTAGATCATAGTAAAACATCCCTGCAGGAGATGAAGAAATCATGTGGCTTGCTCAAAATTGGAATGGAAAAAGGCCCGGAGCAAGCTCAGGGCACAATCCTGCACTGGCCCTTGTGTGGTGAATAAACCAAATGTGACTGATTATGAGCTTTCTATCACTAATTAGAACCTCTTGAATTCTGAGTTCAAAATCTGCTTCATGTAAATTTCAAGGTAAAACAAATACAAGCATAGCACTCCCTTCTCCAGGAGTGCTACCTGGTCTTGGGAAGCCAATACAGAGGCTGTATACTGAACTACTTCTGCAAAAATCTAAGCAGATACACTTGGAAGAGAGAACACAAAGCTCTGCTCACGCTAGGATGTTAGTTTCCAACCACATCCTAGAGCTCAGACCTAGTACTTCAAAACATTGATTTCCAGTTCGAAGAAAATATGTCTGAAGAATCCTCTCAATAATTCCAGGAAGGCTGGAGCCAAAAATCTAGGCTGCCAAGTAAGAATTGCTCTAAACAAAATTCCTTAGGAGGAGTAGTCCAGCTAAAATTCAAGGATTCCACCTTCACTAAATCCAGCCTCTAGGACTGACAGGAGAATTAGCCCCTTCTAAAGCACAGCAGTGTAAAAGTTTCACACAAAGCAGGCATCAGACAGTATTACTACATTCATATCTGACTCCCACAGAGACCAGAATCATAGCTGAGCAATCCCCCTTAGCACACGCCTTCATAACACCAGGGCAAGAAAAGCTCCTCAGTTAACTGTATAAATAGGTCCCTAAAGTCCACTGAGCTAGCACCATCAAGAATGAACGTGTATCACACTAACCAAAAATTGCTATCATATGAGAAGTCAAACATCTGTACCATTAAGGTCTGTATTGGAGGACTGCAATTTGCAAAGTGAATTTTCAGCTATCATTATCCCATCGACATAGCATAGATGCTATTTTCTGTCTTCATCTATGCCCACACAACTGTATGACACTTACAAATATATATACAAACACATATATATAATCTCATATGGGCATGATACTTGCAACAACTCAGCTATACCAGGGGTTTTTTTGTCACAGATCATAAAAACACTGCCATGCACAGGAGCAAACACCTGTAGTTTGTACAACAGCTTAACCACATTTTGCAGTGGAGAGTGGATGTTACAAAATGCATGTTTGTTCTTTATTTCAACAGCATTGTGGAAGAGAGACCAAGAATTAACGCTGCCTGTTCAGACAGACATCGATAAAAGGCGTACCAATAATTACCCAGCTAACAGAATAATAATGCCCTCGGCAGCATTGGTGTGTGGAGGATAGGGGCAAGGCAGGAGATGGAGGCAACACACGTCCTGATATGCTATAGAGACACTGATCCAGGTGAGCCTGAAGGATCTCAAGGGAAATATTGCAGTGATCTTTGCCATGTAGACACATAAGAGATTCCTCTAGGTCATAAGGACATTTGAGACTGCTGAGAGACATAGGCTAGGTACAGGAATTAATTCCCAAAGTAGAAACTGGATTCTGTAGTTTAAAGTTTGCTGCTGCAGAAGTAGATGTCTAGATGTCTTGTTCCCTGCAAGTGCTCACAAAGGGCTTTCCCACTGAGACAAGTGTAGCAGCATCAGGCTTTGACATAGTCCCTCAGATTTACTCTGGGGTGACACAGTCCCTCCATCTGGGGCGGTGGTGCAATTCTCATGTCCTCAGAGGTCTCCTTTTCCCACAGATGCCCGTGTGCTCTTGGGAGAGACAGAGCCGACGGCTTGGGACCGAGATGTACTGCCAAATGAACTCTGGTTAGCTCTCAGAGATTCTTTTGGCATATTGAATTATATATCCCCATGTAACTGATAGAGCTGTACCTGTGGTTTGCACAAAAAAATAAAAAACATCCTGAAGGCAAGAAAGTGTGTCCAGAATGCTGTGTTTACCTGTAGATAACCCTGCTTAAAGATCAAGGGACCTCTTGGTATCTGCATGTGTGTAGGAGGGGAGAGATGGGTTACACAGCCTGAAGGCTTGGGATCCTTTGGTTAAAAATGTGCATGGCGTGGCCCAGCGGAAGGATGCGGTCCCTCCCCGTGTCCCCTCGCAATAGCTCCGCGAGAGGGAAGGGATTCAGCTTTCTTTGCTCTTCTCCATTGAAGTCTACGCAGGGGGAAGGGGGAGACAAGAAGACGTGCAGATCATGCAACGTTATGTATCCTCGGATAACAATAAACCCTTACCGAGCAAAGGAGCCAGCCGCCGGCCGCCTGATCCCGCTTCGGGAGGCACGGCACGGCACGCCCCGCACCCACCCCCTTCTCCGGAGGCGCCGCACTGACCCACATGTTCGGCGACCTTTCGTCACGGGTGACACGGGCAGGCGACCCCCGGCCCCGGGCACGTCCCGCCGCCCCGCTGCCAGCACCTAGGCCAGCGGCTCCGCGCAGCCCCGCCACGCCACGGGAGACCGCGGTGGGGAAGGGTCGCACGCAGCTAATGGCGCTGCACGGGCGGCAGGGAGGGGGCTGCGAGGGGCGACCTGCCGGGGGCTGCCGTGCGGGTACCCGGGCGGGGGCCGCGGCTGCCCGAGCATCCTCTGGCGCCGTCCCCGCCAACGCCTTACCCACGGTGCGGGATCCGATGCAGCCCATCACTCCGGCGGGGCTCCGGGGAGAGGCGGCAGCCTCAGCAGCGAGTAGGCGGAGAAGGCGGGGAGCGGCGGAGGTCGGAAAGGAGCCGGTCCCTTCAGCGGGAAACGCCGGGGTGGCCCAGCGGGGACCGGCGCGGGGTCATGGTCAGGTAGGAGCGCGGGGTGCCCCCGCCGGGACGAGGCGGGCGGGCGGGCGCGGAGCCCGCGGGCCAGGCTGGCATCTGCCCCCGCCGCGCCTCCGCGCCGCGCCCCGCGAGGCTCCCCGTGCGCTGCCGCGTCCCCGCCGGTGCCGCCGCCGAGCCCCCGCTGCCCGCCCGCCCCCCGCTCCCGGCTCCCCGACGGGGGGCGGGCTGAGATTGGGTAAACAGCTCGGCCCGGCAGCGCCGCGCCGATTGGCTGCCGCCCTCCGCGGCCCGGGGAGGGGAGGCAGCGCCGGCCGGGCCGGGCCGCCCCTCTGCCCGCGGGGAGCGCGGGACGGGCCGGCGGCGGGGCGGAGGCGAGGGAGCCCGCGGGCGGGCGGGCAGGACGGGACGGGACAGGTGCGGGCGGGGCGGGATGCGCACGGAGCGGGGGGCGGCGCGGGGCCCCTCCCGCCTGCCGGGGGAGCGGGGCGGGCACAGGTGAGCGGCGGGCGGTGCCGCAGGCCGGGAGCAGAGGGGGGAGTGGGCAGCGGGCTCGTCCCTGTAAGAGCAAAGCAAGTGGGGACGGGGGGAGGTGGGTGAGCAGCTGGCGCGTCCCCGTAAGAAGAAGCAGTAGCAGCGAGGGGCTGGGGATGTATGGTTGCATGGATGGATGGATGCATGGATGGAGGCGGGGCGGGCGCGGTTTCCCGGTGACTACACTTGCGGACCCGACTCAGTTACCGGCAGCCCCCCAGCGGCCGCGCCGCGCCTCCCCCGGGGCGCTCCCGCGCGGCTGAGCCGGCCCGGCGCGGTGCCGGTGTCGGTGCGGTGCCGGTGCCGCCGCAGCCCGGCCAGCAGGCACTGCGGGAGCTGCCGAGGGGCAGGCGGCCCGCGGAGCCGCCCCAGCCGCCATCCGGCGGGAGGACGGCCGTTCCCCGCGGTCCGGTCTGCCCCCGGAGCCGGCCGCGGGGCTCGGGCGTGCGGCGCCGCCCGGCCTCTGCCCCTGGCCCCGCACGACCGCGAAGGAAGCGAGCCCAGCCGTGAGGATGCTCGCTGAGGCCTTTCCCAGGTCCTCCCCGCTAACACGGCAGTGAGGAGGGATCTCTGCAGATGGAGAAGGTTTGGTTAGGTCAGTTCCCTTCACAGCCCAAATTCTTCTCACCTGATGGCACCATCAACAGGCAGTGTCCTCCTGGCCCGCTTCCCCAGCACCACGGACTCTCTCCAGTCTGGTCCGTCCACCTTCACACTCTGAAATGCTCACTATTTCTTCCTGGTCCTTTGTGTCTCCTTCGCCCAAAAAGTCTCTCCGATCTCACCAGCATCCTTCCACCCATCTCTAGTAATGGCAAATTGAATTTTGCTGATCCCATATGATCCATTTTGATCTCATCCTCGTGCTTGGAGAATTCCATTTTTGTCAGCATTGCTGAGAAGTCACTCAAGACGGCTGATCATTCTTCATTAACAGCAGTTCCAAAGAATAGGTAAGTTCATTCATTTTTCCATTCACATCTTACAGTCAGCCTAAGGAAGGAAAAAAATAAGGAAAAAAAGGGCTTCAGACAGAACATATTTTGCCTGACCCTCTGAAACAATAAGCAGGAAGTATACTCAGATAAAATCAATTTACAAAATAAAATCTACGCAGGAAAGATAAAGGCAGAGAAAAAACCCAAAACCACGGTCTGAATATAGGCAGCTATTTTATCTTTTTCCTTCTTCGTGATATTGAAGGTATTACTATGTATGGTGAACATGACGCTGCTGAAGTGTAAGAGATCAGAGTCCCCTCCTCTCTGGTGCCCGAGGCCAGTCTGCTCTGCTGCTACAATGCTTATCACTGGGTACCATGCATTAGATCCCTGGTGAGGCTGAAGTTTTTCCAAGTTCTTTCCCTATTTCACTCCTTCCACCTCCCCCATATATTTCCAAACCTATCAGTTTTCATCTCGTTTTTCTGAATGACTTACTAAAGATACTTTTCCTGACATGTCTACACTCTTCTAGCCTGGGTTGTAAAAGCACTGGGAAACAATGGGCCTGGCAGTATGTTAACTAGAGGTGTTTCACCATCTCTAAAAAGCAGATCTAAAGAGGCTAAGAAAAGGGAAGCAAAAGCAGATTGCAATGGGAAGAGTGGTATATTAAGACAAAAGTCCTGTTTTGGGTAAATGTTTTTTAAGCTGGTGGCTGCCCAGCCAGCTGCTGTCACCCACAGTCTCCTGTGGACTGATCGATCAGGACAGCTGTCCTCAGCAGTTTCACCAAACCCCACCAAACAGCATTTGCACCTCATCCTGGCCTAAGAAGATGTATTACTGACACAGCTGTGGGCAATTTCTTTTCCTCTGTTCAGAGAGTCTAGTTTCATTTTAATCCCCCTCTCCCTCTCACCCACCCACCAAATCTAAATCTGTTCCTCTGTGAACCTTTTTTGTGCACTGAGTGAACTCTGCTGTGGTTTCCTTTTCAGTGAAGATTTCAGACAAGTCACATTGACTCTTCTTTCTTTATTCCCCCTGAGCTTGTCTATCGCTTTATCTCAAGCTCAAAGTCATATCCCAAGTCCTAGAAAATGTACATTTGGCTTTCCTTTCATTAAGCTACAATATCATCTACATCAACCTGCTCCGACTTCTGCCCCAGGGTGTGATTCCACAGGCAGGTGAGCAAGTCCTAGCACTTACCCTGCCTGAAAAGCTGCTTTCCAGTTCTTCATGGGTTTGTCTGTTGCTGCTTTAGTGAGGTGGTAGTTTACACAGGATCTGGCAAGCACTCATGCTGCTTCCAGACATACACAGCAGAAAAAAAAAGAACTGGAAAGAAGGATTATACCCAAGTGTCCATTCATTCACTCCACAGAATTATTGGTCTGTCTTGTGGCTGTCTCACATGTCCTGAATGCCACCAGCTCCCTCATTTTTTTAATTTGAAATCAATATCACTTAGCTGCTGGAAGCAATACCTGTCTTGGCACCTAGAGCCATGCTTCATCTCTCATTTCTAATATAGTCAGCTTAAAGAAAGGATAAACTCTTCACCATCTTTTGGTTCTTAATCACACCTTTATCTATCATGTTTACATAACATTATGTGTTATTTATATTTACATAAATCTCCATATTAAAAGTCAATTTCATTCTCATTAGAAGTTGAGAAGATTTCGTTAAGACTCAGCTTTCACTCAGTTGCTCAGCTCTTCTGTGCAGTGGGTTCTATGTAATAAGGAATTCATCGTCAGTGAACAGTTTCTAGTTTTTATAAAGAAAACAAACTTTTTAAAATCAGTAAAAATGTTTATCATATAACACCAAAAGAAAAGTAGGTATTTTACATTTTGAAGAAATACATGGTTTAATAAGAATGTGATTTCATAAGAATTATCTCGTAGGAGGGAAGTGACAAGACTGAATCTCTGAACAAGGGACTGAAACAGAACATAAATCTAACTGTCCCCCACAGTTTTTGTCCTTGCACTTTCATGAGCAACAGCATTCCCACTGCTGCTTCAAGGAACTGGAGGTAAATGACAGAACATAAACAGTTTTGTTTTCTTTGAAATACACTTTCTGACAGGCTGTGGATATTTTCTCTGAGCATTGTGCGTTGGTTCTTAAACAATGAGGCTGCAATTTTATGTAGGAAATGGTGTACAAAATTTTTTTGATAAGTGCTGATTTAAATGCTGGTCTGAAAGATCTTCACAAATCTAAGTTTTTGTACAGGTTTGGGAGAAAGAGGTATTTAAATATCTAGAGAGAAACATGGATAGATCTTTTTTTTACAAAGGTGGGTACCTCAGAAGAAAGGAGAAGTAGGAAACAGCCCCTTGCAACTTCCTAATTTATTTTTATGATGGATGAAATTATGTGCCCCTCTGTTTATTGCAGATCTGAAAATCTCCCCTTCCACAGCCCCTGTTGTGAAGGGCTGTGCTGGCAAAAGGGAAGGAATGTTTGACCTGTTGTGTTCTGTAGGTCACTGCCATTAGCAACTTCTGTTTGCAAAACACAGCTTCAGTGCTGCCCAAACTAGGTCAAGGATGCTGCTGGAGGAAGTGCCACATAAAGATCCCTTGACTTCCTCTGTTCCTGCAGTTTTGCAACGAATTCAACAGAGAAATTGAGAAACCATAAGCAATAAGCATGTGCTCCTAGGGGAGGACCACCTATTTCTGGGGTTGTATGCCAAGGTGAATTGGGAACAGACAAGGATCCATGCCTCTCTTCCCTCATGCCCTGTACACAGAGTGGTCACTGTAAGTCTGGGCAGGGATGGGTGGGGAGGAAAACACAATTCCAGCAAATCTAAAAATAGTCACCTTGTGACTCATAGTCACTAGCCTGATAGAGGGGCTGATAACAGCACACAGCAAAGCAGTTTTTGAACTAGTCTAGTTCTTAGCAACTTGTTCTAAACTACCCTGAGGCTTCCATCATGTCCCTGAAGACCAGCTTATGCTGTAAATTAACTGTTTGTTTGTGTTTTAAGAGACAGCTGTTCATATTTTCTATAAGCCATTGATGAATCTATTAAATCTGTTCCACCAGATGTTCCCTATATCTCTATATAAATATAAAGATCTTATAAATTATAAATACTGGAACAGCATCTTCCAAAGAAACACTGCTTATAAAATACAAAGCTATTGTCACTGTCTTACCTGCTGAGTAAATATATTCTTTTCATCAATTAATTATCACGGATGCAGATTATATCACAGTAGGTAATGTGCCCCTGTTATCTTCCTTAGCTACCACTAAAACCAGCTAAAATAAAAAGAAAAAACAATATATATCTTGCCAACTGATGTCCCACTTTCAAGTAAACATCACCAAGCACCAAATAATGCAAAATGTCTTCCTTTTGCCTATTCCTCAGAGGTATCACTGGCAACCATGTCTGTCATCCCATGAAAAGACTGGAGAATGAATGTCCACCTTCTCCTTCTCTGATCCTTTTTAAAATCCTTATGTAATACCTTGTGACCAGCTACTATCACAGAAGACATAGAGAAACTTCCTACATGCTTCTTGCACGATGTGTCTTCAGCTGTGGAAAATATGCAGAGGCCTGTGAAGTTCATGAGTAGGAGATGTTTACAAAAATAGAATCTGTATCAGATCCATAGAGGCAGGAATCGTCCTGCAGGGGCTGTTGCTCCAGTGTGCTTCAGCGCTGGCCTCCTGCCACTGGCAGTTTGGATTCTCCAGTAAAAGCTACTTCTGGCAGAGATCTCAGTAATTGCTTCATGGAGGTAATGTAGTAGATGCCATAAGAGTTAATTCTACATCAAGCTGTATTAGCTACTGATAGGATTTTCGTGTGGACCAAAAAGGAAATGAGATAGCAAAATGACTCATGCAGTTGTTTCTTCAGAGCTCCTTTGCTGCAGAAGACAAACAGAAAGGTTTTTTTATGAGGTTTTAAAGAAGGAAAAAAAGCAGTGCCAGTGTAGTTCAGATCCTGAAAGTGGTGCAACTTATCTCATGTAAGTGAAAGGCTGGGTCCTTTCAAGCTGGGAAAATATTTGAGGCTGTGTGAATCAACTGAGGGGATAACAGGTGGAGAGAGGTAGGTTGTGTTTGCATTACGTATTGTGATATAAGCTCATGCTTACCTACATGCACACCCCAGCAAGTTTGATCTTGTTCTTCCTGCACCCAGAGACCATAAAAAAACTTTAGGGGAGCATATTAGTTCAGTGCTGAGATAGAACTAATCAGTCCACACCCTCAATAGTGCATTTATCAAAAACTCCTCCTGGGTATTTTATCCCATATGGCTGAAGAGATGTAATGGTGAGCGCCATTATTTTCTCCTCTTTCACCATAGAATATTTGCTCCTCTCCTCTTCATGGTGAATTCTCAGATTAGCCTATGCTGCCATAGTAGAGACACATGCCTGGGACATCCTGGTGTCCTCTATTGGAAACTGAACATTTGGCAGAGCATCCCAAATTAGGGACAATCTTACCCAGAGGAATGAAATACCTTGATGTTCATAAGATACCTTAAAAACACACTTATTTCAACACAAGGTGAAATTTAAAAAAAAATTTCTGAAACAAATTAGAATTTCTGCAGTGGGGAGATCTTCCCAGCACATAAAGCCCTGGCAAAGAGTGGGCCACCTGTAACTTAACAACAGACAGGACTCACATGCATGCTTTGCTGCAAAGATCCTGCTGTGTGACCTTGCTTAGTTTGGCAGTATTTCATTAAAATGCAATCAGCTTTCTGTATAACACCTGGATTTGAAGTATTGATACAGAAATAAATTTTCAATACTCAAGTGTTTGTAATTCTTTTCTCACCTTACATAGATATTTGCCTTCCATTTGTTTTTCTTAAGAATTTGTAACTTCATGGTTTTTCAGAACAACAGTCCTGGTTTGCAGGTTTTTAGGAAGTATGATATTCTCTCAGCATCTTCATCCCTTTTTGGTTTTTATGCAGAGTCATGCAGAAGTGTCATGCTGAGTTCTAGATATATTAAGATCTCATTTTTGTACAGTTCCCATTTCAAGGCTTTATGGAAGACATGGGACAGAACTTGCCATCTGGAGCTGTAGTGGTGCAGCTTGCTCTGGTAGCATCTCCCCCACGCCTTTGTAGCACAGTGACCTACTGCATGTGACCATGCATCACCTGCCACTCCAGCAGGAGACCCAGCACTCTCTGGAACTGCAGCTCAGCACCAAAGAACTAGCAAGTCTGGGCTGCCTCATCTGTCACAAACTTCACCCACTCAGCAGCCCCCTCCCGGCAAGTGTCTTTCATAAATCCATTCTGCATCCTCGTGTGTCCTTACCTTGTGTCTGAGCCAGCTAAATGCCTGCTCATACAGAGTGAGACTGGAGGTAGGCTGGGCCAGGCTCTGAAATTCCAGTTTCTTCTGCCATGGCCTGGGGCTTTTCCAGCAGCAAGGGAAATGGGGAGATCAGTGAGTTCAGATAAGGGGCTCTTTCCCACTCCCTGCCTGCCAGGAAGGGCTCAGCAGATGCCAGTGAGTGAGGAGAAGAAAAGAAAGGAATTTCCAGGAGTGTGAAAAAGGAATTTGTTGAACCTCTGGCAGTGACACTGACACTGTGAAGGCTCCTCATCATCAGGTAGGTAGGGACAAGAGGGGAGGTTTGAGGAGGTTGCTTTGGAAGGTCAAAAAGGCTACTTGATATGCATTCAGAAAAAAGACACCCCCAATGACATAAATGTGAGATGCATATTACGGTGAGAATATCTTTGGTGCAGTCTGAGTCTTATTTTGCCTATTTTAAACATTTACTTCATCCTCTACTGAATGTCTCATTTCCCAGCAGTGAAGCTCCTTCTCCTAAATGTCAGTTGAATCTATACTAGTGGTGTTGCTCAAACTGCATTTTTAAAAATAATCTGCAAGCAGTTAATGTGCTTTTTAAATTCCCAGTGTTATGTAAAAAGGCACAATATTTTTAGCCTTACAAAATATCAGTTGTCATCTCCTCACTCCCTTTGATATACTGGAGATGGGGGCCTAGAAGCTCTGCAAAACTGTGGATACTAACTGCTTTAAAAATAAGGTGGGGAGTTTCTTTCTGCAGTGTGGTTTTGTAATTTTACAGATCTTAATAAAAACATACAAAAATACCCCAAACCGTAAAAGCAAGCCTGAACAAAGAAACATACTTCTTATTTTAAAAGCTACTGATTCTGTCCTCTCTGCCAAATTTTCATGTCTGGAATAATGACAGTATTATGTATCCTGAAGCAAAATATCGACTTAAAACTGTTCACTCATGCACTGGCAGAATGGCCCTCCTATTTTAAAAAAATCTCCAGAAATTACTCTCTAGCATAGAGCACACAGCTGTTGTGAGTAGGCTCTGGCAAATCAACATTGACTCAAACTATTTTTGGAATCAAGTCAGGCCTGCTGCTCTTTCTGGAAGATGTGAATACATCTACCTGCTCTGCTCTGCTGAGCTGCAGTCCATAAGGAATATGGTGGGATCCAGGATGTTTCCCTCTGTGCTTATTTGGAGGTGACCTTTCCATTCCCATCTGTTTACAAGTCTTCTGAGGTCTGATGTTTTTACCTGCTGGCAAGCACCTTGATAAGCACCTTGGGACCTTGCTGCTCTCTGTGTTCTCCACTGAAATTTGAGGAACAGGCTCTCAGAAGGGGCTGCCTCACTGCTTTTTCTTCTTACTGTCTTGGAACACTTGACATCCTGATGGCACTGCTGGCAAGGAGGCATCACCTATCAGAAGCAGCTCAGGAAAGCGCACCCCATCCTCGGACTTGCTGGGATCATAGCTGATTCTTGAAAGAAATCCACCAGTGCAATTTAAGAGATGGCTACTAGAAAATCTTGGAATGATAATGTTTGTTGTTGCACCACACGGTCTGTGCAGGTGCTATGTCTCACTACACGGCTAAGGCAAAGCCTCTTAGCTTTTATCTGCTCTCACTGAAGGCTGCTTTTCCTTTCTGTCTCCCCAAAATTTATCTTGATCTGCAATAAGTAAGATAACATTTATAATTTTTTATATTTACCACTTCTTCCTCAGTTTACTGTCAGCTGGGAGAAAGAGTTGAAATTATTGTAGATGAGAGTTCTGTTCTCATGGTCCCTGGAGTCACATAAATAATTGCTATGTTTAGGAGAGTGGAATTCTTCAGGCACCAACTATGTAACTTGAAATTCCATTCCTTGCTTGGAGGTGCAGGGGATTTGGAGAACAACAATTTCTGAGTCAAAAGCAAACACAAGTGGAGACTCTTGGACTCTGGTATAATGTGCTAAGACAGCAAAGCAGGATGCAGCATACTGTATGCTTCTCATCAGTGTAGACTGAAAGACAAAATGAATTCTGAGTCTAATGAGGGAGTAATTCCAGCCTCAAAACCAAGCCAAGGGCCTGAGAATATGCAACATTAAAGAGTAAAAAAGTCTACAATTTAGTGTCCCTCTAATCTTGACCGCAAGCTAAGGTCATTAAGTTGAATTTAGGCTTTTGGCACCAAAGGGCTGATATCTGTCTGCAGTGATATCATCTAAGTTAGAGGCAATGAACAGTATCAACCAGATCTTCATCATATTCTTCACAGATGAACTGTACCCTCTACCTTTCCCAGTCTCCTTCCTCAAGAAGACTCTGGCAGTGTGTAGTCTAGCCCCTGTGGAATGCCTCCTTCTGAAACTTCAGAGGGAGACAGTATCCATATGTGCGTTTAAATTTGGACCTCTCTGCAGATTTCCTCTTTCTTGGATCAGGAGAAAATAGGAGCTGTTTTACTGCATTGGAGAAATGCAGGCTGTCCAATGTGTCCAGAGCGAGTGACAAGTGGAACTAAGGCAGCTGCTTCCCTTTTAGTGAGTTATATCTGAGGTTGCAGTGCCTGTCTGTACATTGACTGGATGTAATATGTGGCTCTTGCACTTCTTCAAATTTGACACACTCTTACACAAATACACAATATTTTCTCATTTACTTCCAAACAAAATATAGCCTTCCTTTTACCAGATCTCTCTTTTTTTAATATTCTTAAAGATAGAGGCTTGATGACCACCTTGGGAGGACAGAGTTTTTGGAAAGCATGGCCACAAAGCCTAAATAAACAGGAAGCAAAATGATTAATGCTGGTAGGACTCAGTAATTCTTCTCATGGCATTGAACACTATGTACCAAGGTGTTGGAAAGAAAGCTGTTGGTGGGAAGCCCAGGAAAAGCGACACTGAAATAGCTTTGTAAACATCCCGTTCATTTCCTCTGGCAGCAGCAAGTCTAACACCGTCTCTGAAACCATCAGTCACTGCAGAAAATGTTTGATAGGTCTCTCCTCATAACCTGAGCCTATTTTCATTAGCACCTTGGTGAGATTCTGCTGGCTTAGTTTCCAGGCATCTTTCACTACTTGCTGCTCCCAACTTTTAGCCAGCACTGTCACAAACATTACCTGGGACTCAAGAATCCCAAGGAAACAGTATATTTACAGATGAAGCCTAAATGCAATGACCTTCATGTAAATTGCATCTAAATGCAATATCTAAAGTGGCTTGTAGGGAAACTGAAGTGTTTTGGGTAAGGTTGAAGGTTCCAAATGACTTTTTTTAATGAGCTATGAAAGCAAAGGGTCAGGTTTGCCCAGTAATATTATCATATCATATAATGTAATATCATTATATCATCATATTGTAATATTATATCATATTATATCAATATTGTATCATAATGTATAATATTATATCAATATTGTAATATTATTATATCATCATATTGACCTTCATCAAGGCAGCTGAAGAATACATCCTTCTGGTGAAGGAAATGCACCTCCACCAGAGTACAGAGTGCAGATGGTCAATGACTCAGTAATTCAAGATGAAATGTATTTTGGTCCTCGTTTTTTTGTGGACTTCTCCTGCCTTTTGAGCAACAGCTGTGGCTGCTGATCTCTCAATATCACTTGGATTAGCTGCTGTCCACTAGCACTGTTACTACCCTCTCCTCAGTGGATTTCATACCTTGAAAGTGGCTTTCATACCATGCTCGATCACTTTGCTGCAAAGACTTTCAGAAGGAACTTAGCACAGATCTTTAGAAAGGCCTCTTACCGTTTATATTTTCAACCTCCTGAAAATCATACTCTGCTTGAAAAAAAACAGCTCTCTCTCATAAGCTGTCACTTGTCACAGACTCCTAGCTGCCACTGGAAGGACTATAAGTCTACTGCAAGGCTCTGCTGATTTTCCTGAAAACCCCATGGAACAGTCAGATTTTTGTCTGGTCATCCTTTTATTCATACCATAAGTAAATTAAGTAGCAAAGGCACTAATAGCCACATGCACTAAACCTGGGAACTGCAAGAAATTTCATATAGCCCCACACTGTTTTCTTTTGGATAACTGGACAGCAAGGGCTTGAGGGGCTACACCCCTTAAAGCTGTACTCAAATGGTGTTTTACTGTGCAGCTCGTGGATAACATTTGGCTTTTTAAATTTTTATTTATTTTTTTTGCAAGCAGACTGTTGGACCATATGCCTGTATTGTCTGTTTGGTTGGTCTGTTGCTTTGCTCCAGGGCCTTGGTTCCGTGATCATCTACACTGTGTACATACTAGATTTTGCCAGGACTGCAGTCTGGAGTTAAATAATTACTTGGTTTTATGAGAGGCTGGTTTGCTGCAGGATCCACACCCTGTAGATACTGCAGGCAGAGACTATATCAAGCTTCATTCTTCCTCACCAGAGCAATCTGCTTGGTGTCTTCCTAATGTGCTCTCAAGTCCAGCATGCCCTGGCAAATGCATGGCACATCTTTGTGAGCACACTTCAAAGTCTCCAGAGCCTGTCCCTGCTTATTTGGCTAGCTCAGTTCTTATGCTAGAAAATAGTACCACTGGGACAGACTGGAGTGACCAGGATCTTGTCCCAGGTTAATGGTACTGGGACTGTAGCTTGGCATCTCTCTCCCTCCAGTACCAGGTGCTGCCCTGGGAAGCCACAACAGGACTTCTACTGCACCACATGCAAGGAGGCTCAGTATGAGATCAAGAGAACTGAGCACCTGCTTTTGTGTCTCAGCTATGTCACAGGGAGGATGGGGTGAAGAACCCTTTTCCCAGGAAACAACACCCTTCCCCTGACACAGACACACTCTGGAATTACTCCTGGGAATTTCTGTCTAAATCCACCAAGTTGCAACATCCAGGAGTACCTACATCTGATGAAACTCGTTTGTAGGAAGGAGCATGGGTTGTTTGTGTCATGCTTACAGCTCTACATAAGTGAAGAAAGGAGACTTCTACCATGGGAGCATGGTATACTTGGGTGGAAAGAGGCTTGCAGCACACACAGGAACTCTTTAATTAGCAGGCTGACAGATGTGTTTCTTTGACAGTTCTGACAAGCAGCAATATTTGCCACAGAACAGCCAAATACATCACTGCTTGTCTTGCTGGTGGCAAGGGCTGGAGCATACAGCTGAGGAAATGGCAAGGGTGCCTTGGAATGTGGAAATGGCAGCTTTCCGAGCAGAAAGGGCTCTGGCGGCCATCCACACTCAGCCGCACACATGGGCATGCCCCAGGAGCCATCTCACAGCTCCCCAGAGTTGCAGAACAGGTCATGCAGCACCTGAGGGAAGAGATATCCACTGGGACAACCTGCTTGCATCTCTTTCTTTGGGCACAGAGCCCAGCAGCAGAGAGCAGGAGGTGTGGGAGGGCTGTGTGAGGGGAAGGAAGCCTGCCAGTGAGCCAGGCCCAGGAGCCACGGAATTGCAGGCCACTGCCTGCTGAGAAGCAGCAGGAAATTTTGGTGGAAGGAGATAAGGAAACAGCAGTGGTAACTCATCTGGGAGCTGCCCCTCCTGCCCCAGAGCCCCTGTCATGGCTCTGTCTAGGAGAGACCTGCCAGCTTTGCTGGAAATGGAGCTTGTTTCCTGGACAGACATCACCCCATTCCCCTGTTCTCCTGGCCAGTCATATCCTGGCATGACCAAGGTCATACCACAGGGATACTTTGCTTCCTCTTATGTGTATATGGCTGATTTGCCCCACTAAAGAAGTGTTTCATGACACAGCAAGGGTTTGAGGGGGTTTTTTCTGTTTACAGCTTTTGGCCTATTCTGGTGTTTCATTCAGGACAATCTAACTGTACGTGTGGGTAGGATGCGTTTTGAAGTGTTTACATATGTGCATGTGCACGCTGCAGCACCTTCACAGTGGGATTTGAGCACCTACAGTGGCCCTTCTGAGAGATCACCGAGGCTCTCTGTGGCTGCTGAGCAGCTCCCCTTCTTGGGGACCTACACTTCTGATGTGTGCTTTGCACAGCAGACCCGGTTCTGAAGAGAACCGGCAGAGGGACGCTCCAGCTGTATGTCCTGGCTCGCTGGTCAGCCAGGGACGTCTCCAGACCTCATGACCTTTGCAAACAGTGTTCCTGACTGTGTGCCAGTTGCACAGAGCAGGGAGATGATGAGGCTTGTGAGGACTGCTGTCTCAAGAGGCTCTGGTGTCCCCAGCGCAGCTCTCTGTGTGTGCCACCCAGCTGTCAACACGCGGCCCACAACGACACCGGGGCATTCCAACTTGAAACTGCTCTTTGGTCAGAAAAAAGACAGCTCTGCACACGTCATGGCCTCCACAAGGGGTGTGAGCAGCAGCCTGGCAGGGGACAATCGGGGCCAGACGTGTTCTTTCACACAGAGAACACCCTGCTCAAGGGAGGGAGCGAGGAGCACACCAGGAGAGGCTGTGCCGTGGGAGCACAGCAGATCCCAGGAGACCTCCTGCCAGGGTGAATTACAGAGAATCACAGAATTGTTCAGCTCAGAAAAGAACTCTAAGATGACCCAGCTGTAACATCTGTTGGCCCATGTGGATGCAGGCAGTTTGCTGCAGGTGGCCCTGCCCTGGACAGTGCAGGCCTAACTACTTGGCCTGGAGACCAAAGTAGATCCATTATATATTCCCAACCCTTCCAGTTGGCCCAGACGTAGCATTTAATACAGCATGGGGAAAGCTGATTAAGTAGCAATTTAACATTAATCAATAAAACGTGGTTAGACTAAACAGAAGTTATGTGATTAAAGAAACATCAGAGATTCAACACAGACATAAGTCAGAACTTTTTGTTGCTTAGGAAGAGCATGGGCTCCTGCGTGGCGTCACTAACGGCTAACTAACTCATGCTGAGATAAAATGGCACTAATTGATCTGTTGATATGGATGGAAATTATACAGATGCAGACATTTTGCATTTTTAACAGAAGTAAAGCACTCTGTCCAGATTCCAGATTGCTTTCCTCTGACCTTGAACACGTATTTAACACAAAGATTCCCATCTGCAGCTACCTAAGCCATACCTGGCTATCAAAAAAGATTTTCTGCCCAATAAGTTTAATTCCCCAGTAGTGTTCTTGCAAATAATTCTTCATTTTCTATTCAAGGACTTTTTTTTTTTATTACATCAATTTTTATTTTCATTTTATAGGCACCTAACCAGTGCTAGCACATACCTCATCCCAGTGCAGTACATGAATTTGCCACACCACTCCTGTGTGGTCTTATTCTTTATTTACTCATTGTGTTACAGGACTGAATTGCCAGCAAAGATTCTCTGTAACTGTCTCCATTAAAACTTAGTCTTCCTGAGATGGCTGCCTTGAACTCTCAGCATTTCTAAGCTTTGATTTGATGGCCAGTAGCAGGGCTTGCTTCCTGTCACTTGCCTCAAAACAAGCACCCAGCCAGAACTGTGTCCTAAATCCCTCCAACACCTGCTTTGTAGTGGGCTGTCACTTCACCCACAGTGACAGTAGCATTCACACCACAATAAACTCCAAAAGACCAGATCACTTTTATTCACGGCATGGAAGAGCCAAAGTGACTTATGCAGAGGACAGCTGCTAATTCCAGAAATAACAAGGTCTGGCGCAAGCCAAGTATACCTGCTGATCCATCTCTCTACCCAGGTAGCTAAATGCCTCTTCAGGACTAAGATTTTGCTTCAGCTAATGAATGTCAGTACAACTGTGTGTCTCTCAAGGCTCTAATTTTCATTTGCAGCAGAAAAATGCCTACTTTTTCAAGCCAATAATTGCATGAAGGAAGACTGCTAGCATAAGGAGATTGTTATTTTCTTTCTGGAGGGATCAGAACTAACAGGGAAGTTATTTAATTTTCATTTCCAATTAAAAAAGCACAAACTTTAAATTCACTATGTGGCAAGCACAAAATCAGTTTCCCCGGGTATTCTATGTATTCTGATTTGAGAATTCTAGCTTTCACACATGCAACCTGGAAAACATGTGTTTTGCATTTGTTTCCTGTAGGGAGGAATTCATACAAAATGTCTAAGAGGGCTGCTTTTCTTTTTCTTACTCCCACTTTCCTTGATCTGCCTTCATGAGCTTTTAACATCAACACACTGGTAAGAAAATGCAAGCATCTGGATTTATGGGGACGTGACCAGAAAGTATGAAAGCATAGATTTTTTTTTTTTTTCATATTCACTCAGCACTTTTTTAATCTCAGTCTGAGATATTCTTTGTTTTCTCTGAAGTCAGAGCTAGCCCAGGGAACAGTGGCAGAGCTCTCTGACGTCAGGCTCATTGTGTAG